CCGTTTTCCCCCTCCCCCTGCCCCTAGAGCCGCCACGCAGTAAAAGTATATATTGGCATCGATAGCGATAATGATAGGTGGGGCAATTTTGAATGCAACGGCATTTACTGGTTCGATGTATATAGCGAAATTTTTCGATAAAAAACATGCCGATCAAGAAAGAATTAGGCATGACAAGGCTATGGAAGAATACGAAAAAGAATTGGGTGAATGGCGTAAAAAACGTCAGCAGTATCAAGATTGGTTAGAAGAAGAATTTTTAAAAAAGAAACAGGCTGATGAGAATTTAAATTCTACTGACCAAGCTTTGGCTTTATACTCGCGAGCGCATCCGGATTTTAAATTAGAAAAGCCTGAATTTAATTATCAGCCATCAAACAAAGAAAAAAAATATGAAATTGTTTACGTAAGTGGTGGAGTAGCAGCCCTGACTTACGCCGTTAGTAAGATTGTTGAGAACAGCATGAGCAAACTATGATGCAATTATTTTTCACATAACCCAAATTAGGGTCTATTTTTTTATCTTTGCGTGTGAGAGTGAAAAACACGTGTATGATATTTTTCTACCGCATTGGCAGCAATAAAGGTAAAATCTAACTACTTTTCTCAAATGTTCGTAATCAATAAAGTTCCTTTGATCTAAAAGTCGGTTTTTARCATCATCTTTATAACACTTATCTAACCATTTTCTAATCTGTTCTTCCATTATGATTATATATTTGCTATATATAATGTCTCTAGAAGAACGATTTAACAAAGCCGTGCAAGAACAAAGTGATACCATTTCATGGGGCGAACTTGAAGTCGGCGTTATATACAAAGTAAACCACTTTGAAACAGTAAATACAAAGCACGGTGAATCAGTTAAGTTGGAACTAGACGATGGCGAATATGAATATGATGTTTGGGCCCCAACAAGACTTGGAGATATTTTGAAAGTTCAAAAAGTAATTCATGTTAGACCAAAAGGTAAGAAGATGTCGAAGAAGGGAAACTATTATTATAATTTTGAAGCTGTTGATCTAAGTTAAATTCCTCTTATATGTGGAGTGCCAATACTGTAATAGAAAATTAGAAAGACCTTACGCCGTTGAGCGACTTAACACTAAAGCTGGAGTTACGTATTACTTATATTGCCTAGATTGCATAACTAAAAAGGGTTTAAGAGAGTTTTATGGTTTGTAAATGAGTTTTATGTCTTTTGATTAAAAAAAAAAAATTTTTGTTATATAATGGAAGTCGATTTTGATCCAACAACAGATGAGGGTAGAGCTGAGTTAAATAAGACTACTGATGACGAGTATGAAACACTTATTAAAAATGAAAATGAGGGCGAAAGTGATTGGGCGCAAAGAATTAGATCAAAATTTGGCCGCGCGTCTGATTATGTTATTGACCACCTAACAACATTATTTAAGGTCAATAGAGCGTCGGCGCCAGAGTACATAAAGATGGATAATTTTATGGAGCTTAGAGCAAAAGAGCTCGAGATTGATAATGCAGAAAAAAGCATTGATCARCTTTTTAGTTCTTGGGATAAAAATAAAGTTGTGCATGGCATAGATGAATATGGCCGACCGGCAGTAAGACTTTCAAGAAGTAACGCAAAATGGTATCCTTTAACTAATTACGAAGATTTTGATAAATTACCAAAACAATTAAAATCTTATTTCAGACGATCAACAGCCGACGATCTTGAATATTCTGACGGAAAAARAGAAATAGATGCGCTTTATCCTGAAAATAAATTACCAGACACCTGGAATGGGAATTTGGATATAGGATATAATAATGATGAATTATCAATCTATGATAGAAAATCAAATAAGTGGAACGCAATGGATCGACTTCCGCCAGAAATTAAAAGTCTTTTGGAAAGCCTGCTGAAGAAATTTTAGATGAGCAGGATAAAGAGATAGCTGCTAATGAAGAGCAGCTTCAACATATTGAACCGCAAATAGTGGTAANTGACGAGTATGAAACACTTATTAAAAATGAAAATGAGGGCGAAAGTGATTGGGCGCAAAGAATTAGATCAAAATTTGGCCGCGCGTCTGATTATGTTATTGACCACCTAACAACATTATTTAAGGTCAATAGAGCGTCGGCGCCAGAGTACATAAAGATGGATAATTTTATGGAGCTTAGAGCAAAAGAGCTCGAGATTGATAATGCAGAAAAAAGCATTGATCARCTTTTTAGTTCTTGGGATAAAAATAAAGTTGTGCATGGCATAGATGAATATGGCCGACCGGCAGTAAGACTTTCAAGAAGTAACGCAAAATGGTATCCTTTAACTAATTACGAAGATTTTGATAAATTACCAAAACAATTAAAATCTTATTTCAGACGATCAACAGCCGACGATCTTGAATATTCTGACGGAAAAARAGAAATAGATGCGCTTTATCCTGAAAATAAATTACCAGACACCTGGAATGGGAATTTGGATATAGGATATAATAATGATGAATTATCAATCTATGATAGAAAATCAAATAAGTGGAACGCAATGGATCGACTTCCGCCAGAAATTAAAAGTCTTTTGGAAAGCCTGCTGAAGAAATTTTAGATGAGCAGGATAAAGAGATAGCTGCTAATGAAGAGCAGCTTCAACATATTGAACCGCAAATAGTGGTAATTAATAGACAAATAGAAGGGGATGAGCAATCAATCACATCAAATAAATCTCTTTTAGAAAACCTCGAGCGGCAAGCAAATGACGCACCTGACGCAGCTGAGCAAGAACGTATTAAACGTGAGCGCAATCGACTTATTCCCAGCAAGCGCATAAAAGTCGTCTACAAGCTCAAATTAGAGAACTTGAGGCAAAAAGAGAAGAATTAGAAGCAAATCAAGAAGCTATAGAAGAAAATCTATCACTGCGTGAGCGCATCAAACGTGTTTTTAAGAAATACGGCTTCACAGTAACTGCAGTTCTTACAGCCGTCGGCATTACTATCGGCGTTATTGTTTCTCAACTTTTAAAAATCCGGTCTGACTGGAGTCGCTAAAGGAGTAGGCAACGGACTTAAAACTTTAGGAACTAAACTCGGTCAAATATTGCCTGGCATGATYGGCGCCATCGCCAGTTTCATTTTTAGAACTGCCGGTGAAGTTGTGGGATTTTTAGCTAAAAATGCCTGGCTTCTTATTGTCGCTGTTGTTGTTTATTTTGTAGAAAAAGTTAAAAGGTAATATATAAGATGACCGATTACGATACACTATACCCAAACCCAAATCTTGGCGGAGACTTCAGATTACATAAGGCCAACGAGGCTCTATCAAAATGAACACATGAGCGCGTGCATTATGAAAAAGTTAGAAAAAAATACGTAAGATGGAGATCACTTTTCCATAATTCATCCATGGCAGTTGGATCTTTGTCCGTTATTTTTACTGGCGCCGGCGTTGCAACTTCACTCACAGGTCCAGGTGTAATAGTTGGAATTCCTCTATCAGCTATTGGAGGTTTTATGAGTTTAATTACCGCATCTCTTACCGTTCATTGGTTAATAAAAA